ACAAGCCAGAACCTGGCCCCCTCAGTGAGGCACAAGGAGCAATGGCATTTAAAAACCCCCGTGTGCTTGGAAGCATTCTATGTCTGCCATCGACTGAGTCTGGCAGCCAGAAAAATAGGCACCCCAGAACAAACCCCAATTATGGTGAAAATATTGCTACTGATAGCCGAACGAGTGATAACTCGTTCGGTTAACACAGAACTCCCAAAATGAAAACTAGCAAATTAGCATGACATCATCAAGTTGCCGTGCCACCGTCTGCGCAACCCTCCCCCTCCCCAGGATTGGGAAGGGGGAGCCCCAGACCCCCACGCTGGCGATTCAACTGGCAATTCTTGGCTGATGTGAGACTGGCTGATATGGTGCCTCTGGCTCCGGTTTTGTTTCAGTTACCGTGTCTTGTGGCATGGTCTGTCTCTGCAAGTGGTGGTTGAGCCAGGAGTAATATTCTACAGTACTCGGGCTGCATGCGCCTAGGGTTTCCTTCCCTAGGTGCCCAGTAAGTACTGCCCTTGGGGCCACCTTCCACAAGTCACCTTGGAATCTACCTCCGCTGTGTCTTTTACTGCTCGGTACCTGGCTGCCCTTGGAGTAAGCTGGGCTTGTTGCCTTTGTTTGCCTCTGGGTAGGAGGTAGTTCTCATCACTGATAGGGGCGCAGGATACTGCACAGCTAGTTCTCACCTATTATAGCGGCCGGATCTGTTACACCCTGGATACGTTGTCCTCTTCTGGGGGTTTTCTTTTGTTTTTGTTTTCCTGCTATGTGGTGGGGGATGGGGAGGGGGAGTCTGCCTTTGGTTGGCTGCCCTGTTTCTTTTAGGGTCCTTCTTTTATATATAGGTGTTTTAGTGGTACCCCTGCTTGGCCCCCGTGAGTGGACACGTCTCGGGGGTTCAGCTTTAGAAGTTTGCTTGGTTGTTTTGGGTGCCAGTTTGCAGCACCCTGCCTGGGCTTCCCTTAGCATGTTACCAAGGATACCTTCCCCCCCCCCCACACCCACACTGCTGCTGCTGAGTGGGACCCTGGTGACTCGGCAGATGCTCAAGCTGCACTGCAAGTGTCTGAACATCGCCCCTTTCGGTTTACCCGTTGGGCTGAGTTTGGCTCAGAAGGCTGATCTGGTTTCTATGGGGCAGCCCCTTTCGCCATGATCGTGATCGCTGGGTCTGTCCCCCAGTGTCCCTTTACCAGATGCCATGTCATCAGCTTCCTCTTCAAGTTTTTGGGGTTCGGTGTCATGAAGCCTCCCTTCTCCCTCTCTCTTGAATGCCTCCCTGGTAAGTCCTTGTTTTCTTCCTGTCTCTATGGGTCGTTAGCATCAGGAAACTGATGGGGCTGTCCCCAGAAAACCAGCATTGAATGTAATGAAGTGCCAATTTCTGGTGAGCCCTGTAGGCTCCCTGACACCCTCTTCCCCTAAGGTCGGCAGCTTTTCTCCATTCATCAAAATTCTTTTCATCAGGACTGACCCCGTGTTGGCCTAGTTAACCTAGACCAACTCCCCACTTCCCCCCAATGTGGGGTGAGGTGGACCTAACCAGTGGGGGGCTGGTTTTACAAAGTTTTGGTTGTTTGTTTTCTTGTTAGGGGAGTTTTTTTTGGTCAGTTTGAGGGCACTGGTCTCATTTTTCAACCATGCAGTAGTCTGTATTAATTTGCAGACCTGTCTGGGTGCTTTTCTGGTTGATGGCAAGATTAGAAACTTTGAATGTAAAGTGTTCATGGGCCATTGCTCCCTACACCTCTCTGAGGGGGGGTGGGGGGGGGAAGGGCCATGTTCTGGTTCATGGTCTCTGGTAGGCAACAAAAACTTTGCAACTGATGACACTCAAGTAGTATGGCACTTAATCAATGAGATTAACTAGTGTTTAATACATCCAATGCTGGTTTTCTGTGAGGAGCCCCATCAGCTCCCTGGAGCAATTGGCCTAATATTAGCTATATTAGTCTGGGGTTTCAGTCATATGGAGTTGTCATGCCTACCAGGAACCACAAGCTAGAACAAGGTTCCCTCAGAGAGGCAAAAGGATCAATGGCCTATGAAAACTCCATTGTTTGGGAGTATATTCATGTCTGCCATCGACCATGGTTGGGCACCCCAAAAGGTAAATACTTCGAAACAGACCCCAACTAGTAGAAAATTGCAACCCGAGACCAAAACAAAGGCTAAAAACTCCCCCCAACAAAAAAAAGGAAACCAGCAAACCATTCCACTCGAGCCGGCCGTCTGTTCCCAGTTTGGAGATGGATCAAACAGAAACCAAAACCATTGACCGGAGGGAGGGAGGGAGGGAGGGTGCCAGAGAGCCTCTGGAACTCGCCCAGAAAATGGCGTTTCATTACATTCAATACTGGTTTTCTGTGGGGGAATCCCGTCGGCTCCCTGGAGCTAGCTACCCAAAGAGTAGGAAAATAGGGGACGTACTCGGGAGGCGACCGTACCGCATGACTCATGACAAAGACGAGACAATTGGCTGTAACCATCGATACAAGACCGCCGAGGGCCCAGCACATTAACAAGATAACGGGCAGCCAGAACCCCATTCGACCTAAAAACTCCCCGTGCCTGAATGTCAGCCAAGACATGTTCCAAAACTCAGCAGCAAGAGCTGTGAACTTCCAGACAACATGGGTGTAAGAGTAGACTGCAGGCTGGCTAGACTTAATGACCTCACGGATGACCAGAGAGACTCGAGCCCGGAACAGAGAATGAGGGATACCGGGTCAACCCACAGTGCGTCCCCCGGACACAGATGCCGAGGCGCGCAGGCAACGACGAAAAGCCTCATCTGGACACATCATATAATGCACCCTTGGCCTGACCAACCAAGCACCTGAACCCACAGTCCCCTCCAGAAGCCTGCCGTCTCAAACGTCACCAGAAAAGAAGATGACTGCCGCTAACGAACAAAGCATCCACCAGAACCAAAAGAGCACAAGCCCCTGCTCAGGAGTAGAGCAGGAAGCTCCCAGACCCGACCACCAGAGTCCAAAGCCAACAAAAACAATGCCCTCGGAAGGCAATTGCAGACCAAAAGGGTCACCACAAACCGAGGAAAAGAGAAAAAGGAGAGCACCCTGTCCAAGGACCAGGACAGCTTAGGCGGCACATGAGCAGGCTGGAGATGGAGAAATGCACGAGAAAGCTTTCAAAATGGAGCAGAAGTGACATACACCCTGAACGCAAGTTGGAGCGCCGCACGATACAAGGTGACAGTATTCGGCATAAGATGCATGTCCTGAAAGAGCCAAGATGGAAAGACAAAAAACACAATCCAAAACTGAAGACAACCTATGAAGAGAAAGGAAGCGGCAAAAAGACCTCCAAGAGACTTCATTCTGTCCTTGAGAAGAAGACCGCAGGTGGGACACCATTGGAGAAGTCACTTGATCACCATACAAATGGCAGTATACCGGCATCAGAATTACCAGATGTTACTCTGCCCAAAACGCTTTGCGTAATAGTGGCTTTAGGCATTGTATGTACTAGCTCTATCTATAAATCCATCAACTTTTGTATCTTACCTTGTATGTATGTACCTTACCTGAATAAAAATTTATTATTATTTAGTGTGGAAGAGTAGAGCGAACCAGCCAGGTACCTCACTGGCCGGAACTGCTGAAAGAGGCGGAGCTGCAGAAAACGCCACGGGTCCGGACACCAAGCAAGCAGCGCCTGGGGGGGAGGTGGGGGTGGGGGCGGCATGGATGAGTGGCACATCAGGTTGATGATGGTTTACTTGTTTCCTTGTGTTTTTTTTTTTGGTGGGGGGGGGGGGGAGTTTTTATCCTCTGTTCCGGTCTCAGGTTGCAATTTTCTACCAGTTGGTCTGTTTTGGGGCGCCTACCTTTCTGGGGGCCCAACCCCGGTTGATGGCAGACATGAATATCCTCCCAAACAGAAGAGTTTTCATAGGCCATTGCTCCTTTCGCCTCTCTGAGGGAACCATGTTCTGGCTAGTGGTTCCTGGTAAGCATGACAACTCTGTGACTGAAGCCCCAGATTAATATAGCTAATATCAGTCCAATAGCTCCAGGGAGCCTCCAGGACTCGTCCAGAAAATAGCGTTTCATTACATTCAACGCTGGTTTTTACATATTCTCAAGATTCAAAAGTATTTTTGTTTATGATTCCATGCAATGTCTCAAGGTGGTGGTACATAAGATGGCACATACAATGTAGGACTGAGAACAGGAGATGGTTTTTAGCCCACATGGTTATTAACCCATGGAACTGACTACCCTCCGAAGCTGTAGCTGCCAAAACTGAGTTGAGTTTTAAAATATACCTAGAAAAGATCAAGCCAAATAGAGGGACCTTTGACAAGCCGCCGGCTTTCTGTCCTTGTCGAGGCCACGAGGGTTAGTGGCCCTCAGGTAAATTGGGTAAATATGGTGTCTAACACTGGGATAGCAAAGTGGGGGATCACATTACACAATGCTTGTCAGAATGCATCCCACCGCAATATAAGAGAACCAGTTGTGAAGACAACTCAACACAAAAGTGGCCAAAGCCAAGCTAGTGCCTTGAGTTTAAACAATAAATCCAAATTAGAATTAATTTTGAACCAAGTTAATATTATTAATTTTTTAACATTATTTTGTTATTTATTTTATTGAGTAACTCACAACAATGCTTTACATGCAATTTAGATATTATAGCACTTTTATATTGCTCTAGTACTGCAACATTTTGATGTTTTAAAACTCTCTTTGTATGCTTTTATATCTGTATATTTGCTATTAATGCAACATTTGCAAGTGCATGCCCTTTAACACTAAGCTTTCTTACATTTCAACTCTTATGAATTTTAATAAGTTTAAATTGGTTCTGGAATAAGTTATTAATAAATATTGCATTTATTTGGTTTCCTAAACACAATATTGCTGATTTTAGTATTATATTTAATTGAAACAAAATTTGAATAATATTTCAAATATATTTTTAAAAAATTATTTGTATTTATATATATATAATAAATCAAAATAATGTTTCAGGTAGCACAAGTGATGGTAGAGCTTTAGACACCGACACCTCGCCCTCATCCTCTCCCCAAGAGTCTCCAAATACTTTCATTAATGGACGATCAACTGAATCTTTGTCATCTTTGGTTTCTGATGATCCACGACCTCCACCTAGAAGGGTAAGATAAGTTATAGTGAAGGGCATATTAGAATGTGCAAGTACTTTATCATTTCTTGTTGCATAGTTCTTAGTTATGAGAAGTAGTTCATATCTCGTGAACCCAACATATGGTGGTACAGTATTATCAATGCCATTGTTCATAAGTCAAATACATATTTTCTGAAAATTGTACCATATTTTATATTACTGTATAGTGTTTCTGTTGGCAGCTATTATGTACTTGAATCATTTTTTAATGTTAACACTTTCTCGTCCTGGTCGGCCTGGTTCGATCCCGGGCGCCAGCGAGAAACAATGGGCAGAGTTTCTTTCACCCTATGCCCCTGTTACCTAGCAGTAAAATAGGTACCTGGGTGTTAGTCAGCTGTCACGGGCTGCTTCCTGGGGGTGGAGACCTGGTCGAGGACCGGGCCGCAGGGACACTAAAGCCCCGAAATCATCTCGAGATAACCTCAAGATAACCTCCCCACCACACGCTCCTTAGACTACCTCAAGGTGCGCCGAGCATTGGCCGTGAGCTCGCGTCCAGACTCAAATATGTATATTCTTTTAAGTTTTCTCTCCTCAATTTTCGTTTTACGGTGTTACTTTTGGAATCTTTTTGTTTGCAGTAGATTTCCCTACAGGGATATATACATATGAACTCCTAAAGCCCAGCGTGCCACCTGCACCAAACTCACAAATCAGCCAAGGGTTACCCGTGAGCGAGCAACTCCACCAAAATGTGTCTACTCTTTGTAGGATTCTCACCTCAATTTTTGTCCTATGTCATTCAATATTGTATCAATTTGTTCACAATAGAACTCCCTATGGGGGGCATGTTTGTATGTATGTATGTATATATATATATGTCGTACCTAGTAGCCAGAACTCACTTCTCAGCCTACTATTCAAGGCCCGATTTGCCTAATAAGCCAAGTTTTCCTGAATTAATATATTTACTATAATTTTTTTCTTATGAAATGATAAAGCAACCCTTTTCTCTATGTATGAGGTCAATTTTTTTTTATTGGAGTTCAAATTAACGTAGATATATGACCGAACCTAACCAACCCTACCTAACCTAACCTAACCTATATTTATAGGTAAGGTTAGGTTAGGTAGCCAAAAAAAGCTAGGTTAGGTTAGGTTAAGTAGGTTAGGTAGACGAAAAAACATTAATTCATGAAAACTTGGCTTATTAGGCAAATCGGGCCTTGAATAGTAGGCTGAGAAGTGCGTTCTGGCTATTAGGTACGACATATATATATATATATATATATATATATATATATATATATATATATATATATATATATATATATATATATATATATATATATATATATATATATATATATATATATATATATATATATATATATATATATATATATATATATATATATATATATATGTCGTACCTAGTAGCCAGAACGTACTTCTCAGCCTACTATGCATGGCCCGATTTGCCTAATAAGCCTAGTTTTCATGAATTAATGTTTTTTCGACTACCTAACCTACCTAACCTAACCTAACCTAACTTTTTCGGCTACCTAACCTAACCTAACCTATAAAGATAGGTTAGGTTAGGTTAGGTAGGGTTGGTTAGGTTCGGTCATATATCCACGTCAATTTTAACTCCAATAAAAAAAAATTGACCTCATACATAATGAAATGGGTAGCTTTATCATTTCATAAGCAAAAAATTAGAGAAAATATATTAATTCATGAAAACTTGGCTTATTAGGCAAATCGGGCCTTGCATAGTAGGCTGAGAAGTGCGTTCTGGCTATTAGGTACGACATATATATATATATATATATATATATATATATATATATATATATATATATATATATATATATATATATATATATATATATATATATATATATATATATATATATATAAAATATATATATATAAAATATATATATATATATAAATATATATATATATATATATAATATATATATATATATAAAATATATATATATATATAATATATTATATATATATATATATATATATATATATATATATATAATATAATATATGTATAATATATATAAATATATAAATATATATATATAAATATATAAATATATATATATATATATATATATATATATATATATATATATATATATATATATATATATATATATATATATATATATATATACCCGCTATACCTGCACACAAATGTGTATAATCTTTTTAGTTTGATAATGTCAATTTTCTTGTTAGGCTGTTCATTTTGGTATCAATTTGTTTGCAATAGAATTTTCTACAGGGATATATACATATGAAGTCCATAAGCCCGGGAATTGGATAAAAATGTAATTTTAACAAATATATTAAAATTGGACGTCGTAGACGTCCTTCCAAACATCTGCAGAGTTAATTACGTATGTTGTATACGTCCCTCTTGAACGAAAATGTTAATAAAGAACAGTATGATGGATGAGGTTGAGATTCTAATGAAGATCGATGACGTTTGGAGACAGTGGAAAGAATATTTCAAGGAACTAAGGAATAGTTATCCCTTAAGCTGCTAAGGGGTCCTGAGGAGATTTACACCCCTGTGTGCAAGAAAAAAAAAATTCTAAAATTGTTTAGTCATCTAAAAATGTTAATTTGTGTTCCCTAAGCACGGGAAAAATAATAAAAAAAATCGTAGGTGACATTTTGGGCGCAATAGACCAAAGAAGTCTGACAAAAAGTGGGCGTTGTCAGAGCAGTCGTCAGAGCCGGTCAGTGTCACCCGAGCTGACAGGTGAAAGTTGCCACAAAGATATCACCTAATTATTTCAATGTCTCTGATTTATTTTCTCTTAGTTTTTTTGCAGTAATATTATTCAATATTGTGTAGTGTGATACATTTATATAATAAAAAAGGTGAATCATCGCTATACTCAAAAGTATGATGTGCATATTAGTGATTCAATTATTATGTTCATAAAACAATAAACAAATAGTTTTGCAGTTATTACACTCTATACACAGGTTATATATAAGTATCTGCATGTTTCGGTCACCATAACGAACCACTAAATTGTATTATGAGTCAAAAAGCAACGACCACCACACACCAGCCAGCCACTCGTTGCCACTCACTCCCTCAACAATGCCTCACTCGCCCACTTTCTCTTCCCACCATCCTGTTTTATACTTTATTCACAATAAACAGACGTTATATATAAGTATCTACATGTTTTGTTCATCACAACTGTACAGCTAAGCTGATATAGTTAGCTCAGGCACTAAGAGTCGTCGCTATACACATAGTCTGCTGGCGGCTCCCTCACTCATTCAAGGTCACATGCACTAAACTTTCTCCCCCAACAATACTGTTTGCAGTGTTATTACACTATATACACATATTATATATAAGTATCTACATATTGTATGCACCGTAGCTGTACACCTAAGCTTGTAGAGTGCCCAAAGAGCATAGTGGCCACACTCTACACAGCCAGACAAATCATGCAGACGACGTCACCTCCATCACCCAAATGGTTCCTCCCAACATAATCCTTTTGCAGTTATTACAGTAATACACACATTATATAGAAGTATCTATATTTGTGTTCACCATAGAGAACCACTGAGCTGGTATGGTGAATGCAGACAATAACAGGTGGCCACACAGTCAGTAAACGATGCTTTCTCCCTCCGTCCCTCAGCATCACTCCTCCCACAGCACTAATTATCACAACAATGCTGCTATTATCACAATCCTGGTCATTTTTATAACAGTCAGGGGTCCTCTGTAATATTGTCATCACTAAATAATAGCAGTTATATATTTATTTTGACATTTTTCGGAGATACTGCGGTCACAAGCTGAACATTAATGCTGTTCGTTCATGCTGCACGCGCCAGCCTTGGTTGCTCCAACAGTACTGTGCTTTTCACATCGGAGAATATTGCCCAGGATTTAAAAAAAAAAATGGCGTCTGTTTACAAGAGCCCTGAGGAAGCTAATGCCCCCCCCCCCTTTTTTCATTTGTTTCTGATTTTTTCTCAACACAATTTATACTTTTATCTAAGTTAGTATTAAGTTTTAGTCTTAGTGTTTTTCCTGCCCGAAACGCTTTGCGTAATAGTGCCTTTGGGCATTGTATGTACTAGCTCTATCTATGAATCCATCAACTTTTGTATTTCACCTTGTATGTATGTACTTTACCTGAATAAATATTTGTATTTGTAATGTGAACCCTGTGTAGCTGCGGGCCATTTGAATCGTGCCTGACACCCTATGGTGTATATATGCCCCATGTGCACCGTGGGACATGTTTCTCATGTCATATATATATACGCCATGCGCAGTTTAAGGGTTATACAAGAATTATAAATTATGATAATTATAATTATACAGATAATGAAAATCATTTTGAGGCAATAGTGACTTGAACACGCGACCTAGTGGTTTCCAGACGCCTGCTTTAACTGCTTGGCCATGGAGGTACAAAAGTTGACCAACCCAGAACTCTACTGAGTTCTCTGGGAGGTTCTGGAAGCCCCCAAACTGGGGCTCTACCAGGATCTTACAGCCAACCTGACCACACTCAGGCCTACGTTAATGGCATTCACACTTTTACACCCCAGTCAGATCACAATGAAATCACAATGACATGATATATAAATGAAAATAATTTTGAGACAATTGATCTAACTGGGATGTAAGAGTGTGAACTCCTTTACTGTAGGCCTGAGTGTGGTCAGGTTGGCTGTAAGATCCTAGTAGAGCCCCAGTTTGGGGCCGCCAGAACCTTCCTGAGAACTCAGTAGAGTTCTGGGTTGGTCAACTTTCGTACCATTGTGGCTGAGCAATTAAGGTAGGCGTCTGGGAATCACCAGGTCACGAGTTCAAGTCACTCCATTGCCTCAAAATGATTTTCATTGATATATCAAGCAATTGTGATCTCATAGCAATAAAAATAATTATAATAACAAATTTATATTAATTTTTCTGTTGGGGAGCTTTGTCGGCTCCCTGGAGCTATTGGA